CCCCCCCGCCCTTCCACGGGCAACAGCCTGGCTGCCCTGGGGCGGGGGGGGGGCTCCCGCACTAAGCAGCCCGTCATGTACCTTAGTAACTGCTGTGGGCGCCTGGCCCAGGTAGAGCCCTCGGGCTGAGCGGATCTGTGCTAGACAGCTCTGCACAGCTCACGGTGGCTGTCTAGCAGTGGGAGGGGTTATAGTGCATCAGACCTCGAGTGACCAGGTCCGTGTCCCGGAGGCCCCTCCTGCAGGCTTGGGTTGTTCCAAGCCCTTCCCCCTCCCAGGCCAGGAGGAGTGGAGAGGGCCACTTCCTGTTTCTCCCACCGTACTCACATGCTAGCTCGAGACGAAGAGTTCGGTAGAGCCAGCCGCCCTCCACATTCACCGCGTGCTCACCTGGTGGCTCTGCAGTGCTCTCTGACCCCCCAGCCCCCTCTCTGTCCCTCGTGGAGGGTCGTCCAAGCCGTTCTGAGCGTAAAATCACGAGCACTCAGTGCCTGGGCCCCGAGAATGTCTGCAGGGACTCCCACGAGCGGGCTGCGGCTCGGGTCTGTCTCCGACGTTTGGGTGTGGGGGACATGCCGACGCTTGATCATTAATTACTTGAACATTTGTTATTTGGCTTTAGAAATTTAACCCAAAAATCTTCAAAAAGAAGCAGAAGAACGGGAGTTCCGCGAAGCCCAGCTGCCCGTACTGCTGCTGCGCGGTGGGCAGCAAGGACCGCTCACTCTCTGTCTGGGTGAGCCACCTCCTGAGCTGGGCTATGGGGCGGGCAGTGTGGGCTGAGGGGCGGTGAGACTGTGCCTCCCGAGGGATCCTGAGGATGAGCGTTCTCCCTCAGGTCTTTCGAGGGAGGGGAAGATACCTACTACTCTGGGTGGTGCTCAGTGGATGCTGCCATGCTGGGCTCAGCCCTCTGTGGAAGCCCGTAGGCGCTCCTGCTTCCCCGGGAGCCATGCTGAAGGCTGGACCTGACCCCGGCTAGAGCAGCTTTGTGCCCAGACTCGGGCAGCACCTCAGTGAACAGTGCTGTGGTTGGCATGTCGTGTTTGATTCCCGCTGGGAAAAGTTTCGTGATGGGAGCCAGCAGGTGGCGTGATGGTCGTTGGACTTCCACATAGTCAACTGCGGTTTGAGTCCCTGACCCAGTGGCTTAGATCTGCTTCTGGGCATGTGTGCGTGTGTGCCCAAAATCCCAAGTGGAGAATGGAGGAGAAGGGATTGTTGCATGGCCATCCCCCCAGGGGGGTGATTTCCTACTTTCTATCTCTCTCTGGCAAGCGCATGTGCCCTACAGCAAAAATCTCTCTCAAATAAAAAAGAAAGAAAATATATTTGTGTTGGACCAGCTCTGTCGCCAGATCCCACATGGCTGACTGCCACTCAAGTCCCAGACCTGTAGGCTTGAGAAACATGTCAGGCACGTATGTGGGCGTGCGTGACTGGGGTCCTGAGGGAGGGAGAGATGGAGGAGGAGGGATTGCAGCATGGCCGTTCTCCACGAGGGATGCTTTCTCCACTGCTCTTTCTGTCTCTGTGGTGAGCGCACATGCTCTCTGGCAAAAAAAGAAAAATCTTCCTGTTGACCTCTGATATAGATAAAGCATATCCACCTGAAAGATATACAGCTCAGAGAATTGTCCTAGATTCTAACACCAGTGTCTCCACAGCCCAGCACACTCCTCGTCTCTGCCTGGTCTCGGTCCCACCTCCCCGTCAAGGCAGTCGCTCTAACGACATCTGTCACGTTAATGTGTTCGCCTGTTCTCGAACACTGTGTCAGTTCAGTTGTGCAGTGTTTGTTATTTTTGGCATCTTGAGTGTCTCTCCCTTGGCATAACGTGTCCAAGACCCGTGTGTGGTGTGTGGGTGTGTAACAGTTACTCGTTCCTTATCGCCGCGCCCGTCCCACCGTGTCAGTGCTCTGCAGTTTGTCTGTCTGCGCTCCTGTCACTGGTCATCGGGGAGGCAGCAGCTTTGAGACAGTGTGACTGACACTGGTCGGGCATCTTCTTATAAATCTTTCTGTGAACATGTGTTTCCATTCTTTTTGAGTGTATATATGTAAGAAATTAAAAGACAAGCAAAAAATATAGCACCAAGCATTGGCCAGGATGTGGGTAGTTGGAACTGATGCATTGCTGAGGGGTGTTTAAGGAAAAGCGTTTGGCAGGTCATTCCGTGGATCAAAGGAGCTGTACTCCACGCGGCTGATCACAGTTCAAACCCCGGCCTCTGACTTGAGAAACACCAGGGGTGTGTACATGCATGAATGTGCGCCCCAGTCCCAGCAGCGCGGAGAAATGGAGGAGAAGGGATTGCAGCATGGCCGTGCCTTTCAGGGGTGCTTTCTCCCTCTTCCCCCCACACCTTCTGGCAACTTGGAAAAAAAAAAAAAAAAAGCATTTGGCATTTTCTAAAGCTAAGCATGATGGCCCAGTAGTCCCACTCCTGCGTGTACGCCCAAGACAAGGAAGTGCTTACGCCCACCATGAAAGCCATGCAGAACTTTCCCTGGCTTGCCTTCTTGCTGTCATAGCTAGCACCTCCCTCTCCCTGTCCATTTAAGCCCGTGGGCTGCTCCGCACTTCTCCATACCCCTTCTGTCCTCACTCCTCGCAGCTGGTTCTCCGCAGGCACTCAGCGACCGGTGACGGTGAGAACCAGAGAGTGAGAACTGGAGGTTTCTAAGTTAGAGCTCCTGCGAGGTCGTCCAGTTCCCATCTCCAGAGACTGACACTCCACACCCTCAGGTCGTCTGGTTACACCAGAGGAGCAAGAGACCACCCCATTGCCATGAGGGAGGCGGCCCTGCCTCTGAGAGTGGAGGTGCTTCCTCGTGGCAGCCTCTGTAGCGGCTGGCGAAGCAGGGACCAGCAGGTGGCGTGATGGTTACGTTGTAGACTCCTGCGTAGTAGACCACAGTTTGAGTCCCGGATTCAGCGACTTGGTGCTTGTGTGTCTGTGCCCAAGATCCCAAGAAAAGAGTGTAGGAGAAGGGATTGTGGTGTGGCCATCCCCCTAGAGAGTGATTTTTCTCTTTAAAAAAAAAAAAAAAAATTTTTTTTTTGATGAAGCAAAATGAGCACACATTAAATTTATGTTAATTCAAAAATATTTTCTCAGTAAGTGAAGTGGATTTAAAGTTACAGGTTTGGAGCCAGCAGGCAGCATGGCGGATAGGGGCGCTGGACTCCCACATGGCCAACTGCACTTTGAGTCCTGGATCTGATGGCTTGCTTTCTCACTTTTCCTCTTCCCTTTTGCTCTGTCCCTCTCTGATCAAATTAAAATAAGTAAATAAATATAGTTAAATAAAGTAATTCTTTAAAAATAAGGAAGGAAAGAAAGAAAAAGTTAGTTGTAGGTTTGAAGGTTATCCTCTCGTTGCATGTATGGGTTCGTTGCAGAGAAATCTGTTGTTGTAGGGACCAGCAGTTGGCATAATGGCTATGTCGCTGGACTCGCATGTAGTCAACCATGGTTCGAGTCCTGGACCCAGTGGCTTAAACTCACACTGGGCGCGTGTGCGTGCGTGCCCAAGATCCTGAGAGGAGAATGGAGGAGAAGGGATTGCGGCGTGGCCATCCCCCCCTGAGGGGAATGATTTCTCGCTTTCTGTCTTTCTGGTGAGCGCATACACCCTATATCAAAAACCTGTAAAAAATTTTTAAAAAGAAAGAAAGAAATCTAGTGTATGTACTGTGACCTGTGATCTGCTTTTCATTTGTTCACCGTTCATGTAACACCCCTTCTAGAGCCTGAGCCTCGTACCCCATTGGGCAGTTCCAGGCATTCCTTCCCAGCCCGGGGCGCATTCACAGTTCTGCAGCCAAAACACCAGCCAGTGGTGCTCACGCCGTAGGGTGCTGAGGTCACGGGGGCGCACAGGCTCCAGGTTTCAGGGCGTGTGTGGGCACATCTCTGCCAGCAGAGGCAAGGCTCTTTTTTCAGGAAGAGGAGTTTGGGTGGGGGCAGGATTCCAAGTAGCTCAGACTTTAGCCTCTCCCAGGATGAGGGTGGCCACAGCTCCTCCTTACCTTCACAGGGGTCCAGGCTGCAGGTGGGAGACCCTAACAACGCCCAGGAGAGCCGGCCTTGGGAGGGAGCGTGTCTCACCCAGCCCCCCATCCTGTGGCTCCGAGCCTGTCATAGGGTGGCCAGACACTTGTGTATGAGCGATGGCCACGGGGTCAGTGTGAGCTCGCATTGGAGCCACCAGGCAGTAACAGGCACATGGTGAGTGCTGCACACCATCAGGAAAGGGTCTCACAGCGTAGCAGTCACATTCTCGGACTGTGGTAAATGGCAGGCAGACTCGGGCTGCACGGTGGTGCCAGATAAGACACGACGTTCCACAAGACGAGCCCATGTGAGAAGGTTCTGGGTTCACTTTCAGGGCTTCCTTGAGCACACCAAGCACACACATGCCCACGCCTATGATCGGGGCTGGCCGAAGTGCGAGATGGATCCATACATCGAGACCCTGTGAGGGTGCTCTCCCTCCGTCTGTCCATTCGTGGAAAAAATAAACTTTAAAAGAAAAATGGCAGACAGAACCGTGTCCCTTATTGGGAAGAATAAAATAAGTGGTTCCCCAAGATAGACCAGAAGAAGCATATTCCTCAATGTATTAACCGTAGCTAGCTTTGAGTCCGGGTGACTGACGCCCTGGTCTTGGTGTCTCCGTACCACCTGTGTGTAACTGGTGACAGCACACCTCGGATAGGTGAGTTCCAGAGCTCTGCAGGCCCCGAGAAGATGTGCTTTGTTCTCCAGGGCCAGCTCCTTCCCTGCCCAGGCCACGGCATCCTGTCCTCCGCCACGTAGAGCTCCGAGCCCCATCCTGGGCTGCCTCTGCTCAGCGTAGCCTCCCCGAACCCCCCTCTCTGCCCTGTCCGTGGCTGGTTGTCCACATACCGAGCCATCTCCCCTGCAGCCCACAGTGAGCCGTGCTGACGGGATCACCTTGAGAGACTTCTTCTGGGCAGGCTTGGGTCCCCGCAGTCGGGTTTGCTGTTTGTCTGGGTAGTGTCACATATACCCCCTACGCCAGCAGTCTGACCAAGCTTCTGGGCTGAAGGTGTTACCTGAGCCAGGCGCACACACAGCAGTCTTCAGGGTTCGAGTAACCTTTACCGCTTCTCCCCTCCAGCTCACGTGTCTGAAACGGCCTCTGGTGGTCATCCACGAGCTGTTCGACAAGTCCATCATGGACATCTCCTGGTAAGGTGGGGCCGGTCCTGGTGCGCAGGCTGGGGAGGGAGAAGCCACACCTGGGCCCTCCCGGGTGTGGCTGGGGTCGGGCGGTCAGTAGGTTCGCGCCAGGCACCGCAGCTGGCACAGGCCCCAGGGCGGTGTGTGCCTGGAGCCTGCCGTGGGGTAGGTGTGCCATCCCGGATAGCATTTGCCCCTGGAAGATGCCTTCTTAGGCAGACGGGAATTTGTCTGCAACAAGGACAACGGGGTGGTCCTGGTGGGGCCCCACTTGACTCTGTCTTTACGTGAACCGTGTCTGCTTGGGCCTGGAGCAGACACATTCTGCTTCTCAGCAACCTTGTTAGATGTACACTCCCTGGAGTGCTTTTTTAATGGTTTCCCAAATAAGATGATTAAAATTGAAAATTCTTGTAAGACATATGCTAAGGGAGGCTTTGTACTAGTACTTAGAACGAAAGGGTACCGGGCCCTCTGGGACGAAATTGCCACCCCCGAGCCTTCGGCCACCCAGGGAACTAAGGGTCTCCAGTGTCTGCCTAGAGCGCTGAGGCCGGCCACCAGGGCGTGGGGTCCACCTCAGATGCTCGCGACCAGACGGGTGACAGCCGGCTTTTCCAGGACCCTGAACGGGCTGGGCATCCTGGTGTGCTCCATGGACGGCTCCGTGGCATTTCTCGACTTCTCCCAGGACGAGCTCGGAGACCCCTTGAGTGAGGAGGAGAAGGTAAGCTGGTCGCCCTATACTGCCGTGTGCGCTGTGGCCACGGAAGCAGCCATGACAGCTCTGACAGCCACCTGGGGATCTTCTCATGGGACCCACACAGCGTTCCCCAGAGCTCAGACGTCCATAGGCCACAGCCCTTCCCCTCTGTACAGAATCCCACAGGAGCCTGTTATGGGCAGCCGGGCGTCGTGCTGGTCAGGGTGGCCGGGTCCCACAAGGCCAGCTGTGCAGCTCAGGTCTCACGCCTGGTGGCCTGGAAAACACCCGGTGTGTGCGTGCATACCCGACACCCCGAGACAAGAACGGAGGAGAAGGGACTGCAGCATGGCCCTCCCCTCCCGGGGGCGATTTCTCACTTTCCCTCTCTCTCCAACAAACACACACACCCTGTGGCAAAAATCTAAACAAAGTGAAAAAATTGGGGGCATCTCTCCTTGAGCTGCTAAGAGGCCACCCCCCGGCAGGCTTCCACCCTGGGAGAGCGCTGGAGTGGCCCCACGTCACCTGCCCACTGTCTATACGGACACCAGCGAGCACGTAATGAAGTTGGTCGTTCACCACTGACTTTATAGCGGGGGCTCCGGGCTGTGTATTTTGCATAATGTTTTCACTGAAATTGCACAAAACTCTTGAAGTCAGGGCTCTTCTTATTCTAGATCTGCGAGGTAACTAAGCCTCAGAAAATAGCACAGCCCGTGGCCAGGACCACACACGGCCCTTAGCAGGAGGACAGAAGTGTGAAGCCAGCCAGCTGTGGGGCTGGTCCCTCCCCGTGCTCTGCAAGGGCTTTGGGGAAGGCTCCGCTTTACCTCCCTCGACTCGGAAACCGGCCCCGACTGCAGACAGGCCTTGCCAGCACTCGGTGGGCCGGACTCGTTTGTCTGGGAGGAGCTCCATGCCCTCTAGGTGACGCTAGTGCTGCCGGAAGTGCTCTCTTAAGTTACCACGTACATGTGAGCCCAGGTCGGGGTTCTGCCTCCTCGGCTGTATCTAGAAAGGGGCCCGGCCCAGTCACTTCTCACTGGAGAAACGAGCATCTGAGCGGCCTCAGGCCCTCCTCCCACCTTGGTGTCACCAGGGACCCTGGGAATCAAGCCATAGCGTACGGTCTCCCAGACCACAGGTGGAAACCCCGTGTTGGAGGGACACTGGGAAAGTCTCAGCCCAAGCCTGAATTGTGGCTCACGTTTCCAGGGCATGGATGCAGGAGAGACGGGGCAGGAGCCGCAATAGGAAGACAGGGCGGTTCCTGGCACCTGTAAGCCCCGCGGAACCAGTCCTAGGAGCTGTCCCGAAAAGGCGCCTCCCACTCCGTGTGTGGCAGGGTCCTGTGGACCTCAGTCCTGGGTCCTGGGCGGAGGGTGTGTTGGTCACCTGCACAGGCCCGCCTGGTCTGCTCCTCAGCAGTTACGAGCACCGGTCCTCACGGTGTGCTGCTCTCCTGGGGCTCCCGCTGAGCTCGTTATGGCACAGGACTGGCAGGCCTCACGCCAGTGAAGGGCAAAGCAGGCCTCCCCAGGCCTGCCGAGCCGAGCCTTCCCTTGCTCTCAGCAACACCATCAGCAAGCTCATGGCCCTCGGCCCTCGGCACCGGTGTCTGACAAAGACAGTGAAAGCAGACCCTTGGTCCCAGGGCCTGATTTCCAAAGAGTGTGTGAAGTGTCCACCGTGGTGTCGTGTCGGCCTGGTGCTCTTGAAGGGCAAAGCAGGCCTCCCCAGGCCTGCCGAGCCGAGCCTTCCCTTGCTCTCAGCAACACCATCAGCAAGCTCATGGCCCTCGGCCCTCGGCACCGGTGTCTGACAAAGACAGTGAAAGCAGACCCTTGGTCCCAGGGCCTGATTTCCAAAGAGTGTGTGAAGTGTCCACCGTGGTGTCGTGTCGGCCTGGTGCTCTTCATTTCGTCAAAGCCAAGGTCATCCCGCTGTTCACCACAGACCGTAGGGCAAGGGCAGGTGTTCCATGCCGGCTGTCTCGCTCAGTGCCGTCCCCAGCTGGGCAGGGCAGGAGACCTCAGCAGAGCCGTCTAGTCTCATGGGCAGAAGGCAGCTGTAGGGACGAGAGCCTCCTCGGGGCCCTTCTGCTCTCAGAGCAGGAGAGCCCACTCTGCAGCCGGCACAGGGGCTCACAGGCCGTGTCTCCCACCCCTCTCCTAGAGCCGCATCCACCAATCCACCTATGGCAAGAGCCTGGCTGTCATGGCCGAAGCCCAGCTCTCCACGGCCGTCATCGAGAACCCCGAGATGCTCAAGTACCAGCGCAGGCAGCAGCAGCAGCAGCAGCTGGACCAGAAGAGCACCACGGCCAGGGAGACGGGGTCCACTGCCTCTGTCGCCGGCGTTGTCAACGGGGAGAGTCTGGAAGACATCAGGAAGGTGAGGCTGCAGCCCAGCGCGCTGGAGATGTGGGCACGTGCCCAGGGGCAGGGCAAGGGGAGCAGGCAGGTGGTACATGGCATGGGCAGCCTGGATCCGGCATGGAGGTGAGGTCGCAGGCAGAGTGGGAGGAGGATGCGTGCTGAGCCGGGGCCAGGTGGTCCTGTTGCCCACAGTTGTCAACGGCCTCCTTGTCCGGGGTACCCCGGATGAGGTCTCTAGCTCTGCTCTAAACCTGAACCTGCCGGCCTTTCTAGGAAATTCTGGGTGCCGAGAACAGTGGGTTTCAGATTCTGCCCTCAGGAACTTCTGTGGGCTCCCTTTCTTTATCTGGCTCCCAAATGTTTCATGGGGGGGGGTGGAAGTGGGGCAGGAATGGGGTGGGAAATATCGATGTCACTCAAGGAGTTTAAGCCATCTCCAGAAGCTTGTTGTCCAGGGGCCAAGGGGCAACTCGCACCCCCCTGGCGATTCAGGAATGCTGCATGACAGAGACCATAGTTATGGGCCTCTAGTGGAAGAAAGGGCTCTGTGATGGAAGACACTTGACAATCACTGGCTCAGTGACACGCGGGGCTCACAGATGCAGATCTCAGTCCTCCAGCTGCTGATCGGGTGGGCGGACAGCCTGGCGTGTTGTCCCTGCCCTGGGAACCTGGACAGACCTGTGGTGCTGAGAGAGGGGAGGGTGCTTGGGCCTGGGAGCTTTCTGTTTCTGGCTCTGTTCACTGCTGTGCGGGAGGTCGGGTACATACCCCGAGTTTTAACAGGTGCTTGTCCTTTGTTTGAGCAGCTTGGTTTTAACTGTCCTAGAAAGACTACCTCAAGGGACACTTGAATAAATTTCCTAGGACCGGCCCCGTAGCCTGGTAAAGAGCCAGATCCCACACGATCGACCATGATTCTAGTCCCTGCTCTCGTGGCTTAGGAAACATGCTGGTGTGTGTGCCCGCGGCCCCACGGCCAGGCAGAATGGAGAAACGAAGGAGAAGGGACTGTCGTGTGACCACACCCCACTGGCGGTGCTTTCTCTCTCCTTCTGTCTCTCTCTCTCTCTCTCTCTCTCTCTCTCTCTGGTGAGTGCACTTGTCCTCTAACAGTTAAAAAAGTACATTTCTGGGGCCGGCAGGTGGCATGATGGTTAACGGCCAGATGGCCAACCACGGTCGAGTCCCGGACCTGGCGGCTTGCTTTCTCACTTCTCTCTCTCTATTCAGATTTTAAAAATAAGTAAGTAAATAAATAAAGCTAAATAAAACAGTTATTTTTTTAAAAAGTACATTTCCTTGGAAGCTTTATTTTTTTTTTAAGCCCACTATATTAGGGTATAATTGACATACCCAAAGCAGAACATACTGGGTCCAACTTAGTAAGTCTGACACCAAGGACAAGTTCTGCACGGTACCACTGGCTGAGGGCAAAGATGACCACACGGCAGCAGAGTGGGAAGGCGGGTGCCAGGGGCAGGGAATAAAAGGGGGAAGAATTAGTGTCCATTTCAGTCACGCGAGGTTAAAAGTTGGCCAGGAGGGTGGATCTCACGCTAACTCTTCTTACCACAAAAAGAAAAGCTTCGTTTATATTTGTATTCCTTATGGTTGGCAGAAACTTTCTCACTTGCTTTTGTGACTCTGTTCTGCCAGAATCTGTTGAAGAAACAAGTTGAGACTCGGACAGCAGACGGTCGGAGGAGAATCACCCCTCTCTGCATAGCACAGCTGGACACCGGGTACTCATTCATTCACCGAGCTTTCTGGGACCTTGTCTGGGAAGGTCTTCCCCTCTCTCTCCACCAGCTAGCACTTCCCAGGCCCTGGGGCTACCTTGACTCGTACACTATGAGAACAAGATATTTGAACCCAGCTTCCCACCAGCCTCGGCCCCACGCTTCTCCCAGGGTTCTTGACTCGTGCCCAGGGCAGGGGAGAAGTTGGGGCGGGCCACAGGCCAGGGCGCCTTCTCAGGGCCAGTGCACCTGCCATGCTTCACTGGGGCACTCAGGACACAGGAAAAGCGGTCGGGCTGATTGGTTTTCTTTTTTTTTTTCCTTCTATAATGTTCTTTTTGTGGTTTTGAAATTACACATACATGGGCTAGCAGGTGATGTGGAGATAAAGGCACCCGGGTCCCACATAGCCAACTACACGGTTCGAGTCTCAGACTCAGCAGCTTGAAAAACACGCCAGGTGCATCTGCTTGCATGCCCAATTGCAGCGTGGCCATCTCCCCTGGGGGTGATCTGTCACTTTCCCTCTCTCTGTCTCTCTGCAGCAAACACACACACCCCGTAGCAAACTACAAAGAAGAAAAGAAAAGAACTATTCACATACATTGTTGAAAACTGAAATAGTAGTGAAAGTCCCAAGAATACAAGCATTATTCATTATCCAGTCTCGCAGCTATGATCCCTGTCCACATCTGATATCTGTACTTCCCGACTTCTTCCCCACTTGTCATTGTATCTTCACTGTTCCTCCATGTAATAAACCGTCCTCCGAAGCATTCGCTTGCTGCTTATCCAGGCGCCTGTCCTGTGAACGCACTATGATTTAGCCGGCCCTTCACTGTGGGCCTGGAGTCGATGTCCCGTTGCTGTGGTTGTAAATGAGTCTTTGAGCACACCTCTGACTGCTCCCTCAGGGTAATTCCTAGAAGTGGGATCCTGGGCAGAAGGATGGAGGGGCATTTACTTGTAGGGAGCAGGGGTAGCGCGTAGACTCACTGCAGATGCTGCAGTTTCAGCCTCTGTAGTCAGGCTTGCCTTTGCATTGGCCTTTCTCCCTAAAACGATGTGTTCATTGAAAGGATAAGGCCCTGTGGGAAAGAAATACGCACTGCCTCCAGCACGGCTCTGGGTTTTACACTCTCAGCCGATCGGCTCAGGGCAGCAGGAGGCCCTTCTCGGACATTGCCACGGTGTGTTTTGCAGTTGTTCGTGAATTGTTCCAGCCACTTGCTCATAGTGTGCTTACTCGGCCTCTTTTCAGGTGTGCCGGCTCTGCGGCCCCAAGAGGCAGATGCCTGGCTGGGTGGAGCCAGAGTCTCTTGACTCCTCCCAGAGAAGTGATTTTCCCTTTGCCTAAGCCCGTTCCCATCTTGAAACTGCAAATGTCAGGCCACCTGATCCCACTTATTAGGACCAAGTGAGCGCAAGTGGGCGCATTTGCTTTGAGCTCTGCTGCCTCCAGGAGTGAGGCAGGAGGTGCTGCCGCTTCATCGTGTGGATCCTTTAAAGAGCCCTTACCTGGTGGGGAGGCACAGGAGGTAGGTGGCTTCCCAGCCGGCCTCGAGAAAGCTTTCTGCCGCACGCACATTTCCAGCACCAGGGCTTGACTCTCTCTCTCCTTTAGAGACACGTCCACCTGCCCAAGTCCCATATTCAAACAGGTAACAATAGCAGTAGGAATTACTGGTTTAGTTAAGAAAGAAATGAAAAAGCACAAATATTTAAGGTAGTTGTAGGTGGAAAATAAGCCCAGATGTAGGGTAAATTAAAAGGATGAGGGCTGGTTCCACGGTCTAGTGGTTAAGGCAGCCAGACCCCACAAGGCCAACCACAGTTCGAGTCCCAGCCCCAGCAGCTTGAGTGCGAGTGAGTGTGAGTGTTTGCCCAAATCCCGGTAGGAGAGAGGGAGGCAAGGTTGCAGCATGACCATTCCACATGGGGGTGCTTTCTCTCTGTCTCCTTGTTTTTTCTCTGACAAGTGCATATGCCCTCTATCCAAAAGAAAAAAGATAAGAGAGTTTTTTGCTGAATCCTATGTAGATCAGTTTGAAAGTAGATGATATCTAAGAAAAGAAAATGGCTGAGACTGAAGAATTACCGTAGAAGGAACAAAGGGCACTATCGAAGAGCTAACCCATTAAAGCCGCCGAGCTGGAGAGGCTTCACAGGGACATTGTAACAAACTTTTTTTGGGGGGGATAGTTTTTGCCTTAGGCGTGTGTGCTCACCAGAGAGTGACAGAGACAGTGAGGGGGGGAGTGAGAAATCACCCCCTGAGAGGGTGTCCACACCACAGTCCATTCCCCTCCTGGGATCTTGGCCATGCACGCACATGTGCCCAGTGTGAATTTCAAGCCACCAGGTCTGGGACTTGAACTGCAGTCTGCCATGCAGTAGTCCAGCAACATAACCGCTAAGCCTTCTGCTGGCCCCGTGTAACAAACTTTTTAGGAACAAATGACTCTAATCAAGATGAAAATATTCTAGAGCATAGAAAATAAAAGCTTGAACTGAACAGAGTATTTCCCAAGCTAAGGAGAAACATTATCGGGTCATTGGAAAAGTTATAGCGTTTTTTTTCTATGCAAAAATGTGTCACGACTTTTCGGACAACTCAGTACGTTGTAGATCATTTCCGAGTGTCAATGCAAAGTTCTCAGTAAAATGATAACCAACAACCTGACTGCATGATGGAAGGTAATTTGCCGTGAGCAAATAAGATTTATTTCAGGAAAGCAGGGAGTTTCCGTTTCTGGGAAACTGTTAATTCTGCATGTCAGCAGATAAAAATAAACTATTATATGATTGCTTCCTAGATGTTTAAAAGACATTTTTGTAACATGCAGCATTATTCTGAGTTAAACCCAATTAAATGGGAGTAGGTAGATGCCTCTTAACCTTGATAAATTAACTTTAAAATCTAAACAAGTATCTCCTCTTGTGACTGTAACTTAACAAAGCTATAGAGCTCTTAGCCCAAGCATTTAGTCAAGAGAGGAATAAATTGGTAGAATTTGTCATTATTTAAGGATGCTATGATCAGTGAGAGAATCAACTGGAAAAACTGCCATAAACAATAAAGGAGGATGGGACCAGCAGTTAGCGTAATGGCTAGGTCTCTGGACTCCCATGTAGTCGACCGCGGTTCGAGTCTCGGACCTGGTGGCTTAAATGTACCCAAGATCCCGAGAGGAGGATGGAGAAGGGATTGCGGCATGGCCATCCCCCCTGGGGGGTGATTTCTCCCTTTCTGTCTCTCTCTGTCTTTCTGGCGAGAGCACACGCCCTATAGCAAGAACCTCAAAAATAAATAAATAAATAAAAGAGGACGATAAGGTAGGTGGATATAATCAACAAGGAGCAAGCGGCATCCAGAACCTTTAGAGGGTGTAAAGGAAGTCATCACATTCACAAATGAAACCCTAGGGGACCAGCAGATGGCGTAGTGGGCATGTCGCTGGACTCCCACATGGTCGACTTTGGTTTGAGTCCTGGACCTGGCAAACAAACTCAGGCTGGGCACGTGTGCATGCGTGCCCAGAATCCCGAGAGGAGCCTAGAGGAGAAGGAATTGCAGCGTGACCATCCCCTCCGGGGGCTGATTTCTCTTTTTCTGTCTCTGACAAGCGCACATACCCTATAGCAAAAATCTCTCTTAAAAACAGAAACAAATGAAATACCTAGAATGTATTGATAACAGGAAGCATAGGTCTGTATGATGAAGAAATCGAAAACCTGCTAAAGTGCCCTAAAAGACAACACAAAGAGATGCTCCGAAACGTAGCGGGATGACTCAGCGTCATCAGGATGGCCGTTCTCCCTGCAGCTGTGCCCGTGTGGCCGACGGCAGGTTGGGGTCTCCAGAAACACACGCGCACACTCCAGTGTGCCGAAGAGCTGGTGAGCTGAAGGTCCGGGGGAAGGGGGTCTCGGCGCGGCCAGACCCTGTTAAGGATAACTCCCCCCCGTCCCTCCCTCTCTCCCCCTTGTGTGCATATGTGCCACACGTGTGTTCTCCATCATGAGTAAGATAAATACAACTTTAAAAATAATAGCCGAGGGACCAGCAGTTAGCGTAATGGCTATGTCGCTGGACTCCCACGTAGTCGACCGTGGTTTGAGTCCCGGACTCGGTGGCTTAAAACTCACGCCAGGCGCGTGTGCATGCGTGCCCAAGATCCCGAGAGGAGAATGGAGGAGAAGGGATTGCGGCATGACCATCCCCCCTGGGGGGTGATTTCTCGCTGTCTCTCTGTCTCTGTCTGTCTGGTGAGTGCATGCGCCCTATAGCAAAAACCTCTCCAAAAAAAAAAAATAGCCGAGAACCAGGTAGAACAACAGATGAGGAACACGAACAAACAGTTCACCTAGAAAGGAACTGAAATGATTTTTATGAAAAAAAAAAAAAATCATCTATCGGATTGCCGAGTATCAAGAGGTGTAGTAAAAATGTTAGTAAAGGTGTGGGGACTTAGGCTCCCCCAGCTGTGACTTGTAACTTAAACCTCCACAGAGCACTTCAGAGATACCCGACAGGGACCAGCAGTTCACGTAATGGCTCTGTCGCTGGACTCCCATGTAGTTGATCGTGGTTCGAGTCGCGGACCCAGTGGCTTAAACTCATGCTGGGCGTGAGATCCTGAGAGGAGAATGGAGAAGGTCATCTGTATTTTCTTTAGTAATGGGGTCGCTCTCTCCACGGGGGCCGGCTTGGAATTCTCTCTGTCTTCGTGTCTTCTTATAGAAGAAGTAAATGAATAAGCCTTTTTCTTTAAGTGATACAAATTTTTTAATCAAAAATCAACAGCAAGGGACCAGCAGTTGGCATAATGGCTATGTCGCTGGACTCCCACGTGGCCAACTGCGGTTCAAGTCCCAGACCTGGTGGCTTAAACTCACACCAGGTGCGTGTGCGTGCGTACCCAAGATCCCTAGAGGAGAATGGAGGAGAAGGGATTGCAGCGTGGCCATCCCCCCAGAGGGGTGATTTCTCACTTTCTGTCTCTCTGTCTCTCTCTCTTTCTC